TTTGAATTCCAATCATGAATACATGTATCTTGATAAACAAACATGCAAATGGCTTGTAAAAATCATGTGATTCATTTCTGACTTAAAGATTTATAATTATGATTGCAGCATAAGCTAAATCCAGAATTTTGTTCAGAATCAGAGGCAAAGTTACTTATACCTTTAAGTTACCAAGACCAAAGACAGACTGTTAATTTCTATTCAAAGCATGCACTTGAAAATCAATATAAGGTTAACTGAACTAATAGGCTGACACACTTTTAAGCTAGGAGCACCATAAATGATTGACTGGAGGCAAACCTGTGTAGGTATACATTTCATAAGACACTTGATTACCGGTAATAGACATATGTGAACAACCTTAAAAGTATTTTCTTAAACACTTACAATTCTTTTTACAAACTCTAAAACTTCAGACTGATGGAGGGATAAATTCTTACCTCTGGGCTGAAGTTTTTAGTAAACTCCTTGAAGTTTGAAAGAGTTTTCCCCAAGGTAATGTCTTGGCAGTTGAGCAGTATGCTGAGTAGAGCATGTGTTGCACAGGAATTTGGTACCATCTGAATTCAGCAAATGGAATAGATCACAATTAATGGAATGGAAAGTGAAATGAGCAGGTATCATCCACTCAGAACTTACAGATTATGATGGCAAAATATTCTCATGAAAGATGCTATTTCAATAAATTGAGTGGCAACAGTTTTATAAGAACCGGAACATTTTCTTTTCTTTTAATTTACAATTATTGATACTGGAATATGCTTCTCTACATTATTCCATATACAGTCAAACCTGTCTATAGCGACCGCCCAAGGGAAACACAAAAAGTGGTCTTTGTAGACAGGTTCCTTTAGTAAATGTTTCAATGAGAAACCATTTTCAAGGGAAACAAAAAATGTGCTTGTTGTAGACAGCTGGTCACTAAAGCAGGTTTGACTGTATATCAAAGATAATGAAATAAATTGCTATTTTGTAATGATAAGATACACTATACAAAAGACAAAATAATTGACTGATTAAATCATCTTCCCCCCCCCCCCCCCTGACTGTTATCAACTAGATCTGAGCTTACCTGATGGGCAAAGAACATGTCTTTGAGCAGGCCTGGATTAGTGACGTATGCATCATCCGCTATTGACTGAACCTTACGTCTCGCTCGACGTTCTTCAATCCATTTAAAGAGAAAGATGAATCCATAGACCGGTCCATCTATAGGCTTTTGAAGGTCATACACCTCTTCAACCTGTACACCTTTTGTTCCTAGAATCGATGAGAGTTTAACACACATATTTCAGAGCTGGATCATGTTTGATAATTCTTTTGGGGTTGGAACAGTTATAGTGCCAATGGCAATCAGCCAAGTAAAATAATAACCAGTACCTACTGGTCAAAAAGCATTAAGGCTGAATTCTACATGTATTTAAATCAAATCACAGAATCAATAGAAAAGGGAAGGTACAAATATGAATTCACTCATGTACTTATATACATTTCATTCCTCTTCTTAGTCCTATTCCTCTTTTGAATTCAAATACAAACATTCATCATTTTTTAGAAGAATGTTAAAGATTGATAATTCAACGATTCTGTTACTCATGTATATGAATGACAATTTTATGGCTATCTATTTTGTCAGTAATGTGATATAAGATATTCATGTTTTGTCCTGTTTTTCTCAATCAGTATGCAGTATTGTACTACATGTATTAGACAATTATAATATATCACATAAAATACTCACAATAAAGTAAAGAAATATGTTTTATACCTATAGTGTATACATACATATTCTATCTTTATGCTTTGAATTTTACAATGTCAATTGAACAATGTCTCAATTCAATTAAATTCAATACTTATTCTATTTCTTCTGTTGAAGTACAGGCCACCATGCTGTTGGTGTATCTTCGTACTTTGAGGTTGTGCAGATATATATACATGTAATTGTAACACCTCACATGTAACAGAAAGTTGTTTAAAATATTATTGACCATGCAGAACTAGATGTCAGATAGAAGCAGACGAATAAGTAATGTGGTTGATTGATGTTCAAGATAGAAAATCAGCTTACCAAACTCTTGGACAAGAAGAGTGAACACACCTGGAAATTAAATGAGATAAATTATTGAAAGACTTTAAAGATTAGACTCTAAATGACTGGATCAATTTACTTAACAGTTTTTAGACTTACACTGTAAGTAACAGTTAACTAAGAGTTCAAGGGCCCGTTGGGGCTTCTTGGGCATCCCATTGAAACGTGTGTTATAGAATTAACACACGTTTCTATGGGATGCCGTGAACTTAGAGTAGACTCAGGACGGTTTCAAGAAACTGGCCCCGGACATCATTTCAACTTCAAGAAACCGTCATTAGTACAACTAGTCTACAAGTTCACCGGCATTCTATTAAAACATGTGTTATAAAAACTTACATACATTTTAATGGCGTGTTGCCTTTTGGTATATTTATGCATTATGATAACTTCTCTGATAGGCACATTCATGGGGCACTAGAGGGCGCTTTGCGCGCGTACGAAAATCTGAATGGCCTTGCTGCGGTGGGTCGGCAATAATCAGCCCAAAACTTGGATATGGGAGGGTGGAAGGACATATTTTTTTTATAATGTTATCTGGTCTTACCCTTAACCATCCTATGTTTAATCTATGTAGAAATAACATGCGAGTACGATAAGAGAAACATCGGGCCCATTACTGATGCAACTTTTAAAATATTAGCCTAGTGCTGTAACATCACAGATATCTCCAATTCCGTTTAACCGCCAGTCAAAACCGGACGGTTTTCGGTTAAACGATTTATTATATTTTTTTTTTTTTTTTTTTTTTTTTTTTTTTTAATTTTTATTTTTATTTTTTTAATTTTTTTTTTAATGTGTGAAAGAGCGGGAAGGACTGCGAGGTGATTTAACTGAAGGCGCCGATTTGTGCTTGTGAACTAGTCACAAATAATAGTAACAATGTCGTTTTAGAATAATGTGTAAGATCATTAATGTAAATTAAAAACAGTAGAGGACCTAGGATAGAACCTTGTGGTACACCATGTGTGAAACTTGGATGAATATATATTGAGATCTATTACAAAGATTACTTTCAAACCAAGATGACAGACAAATTTGAGTGTTGTTCTAGTTTCCAAGTGGTAAGTCATCACACCGATTACTGAGCTGGGAGACATTGCCAGGCATAGTGCCAGGTGGAGGGGCATAAATTGAAACTTAAAAAAAAAAAAAAAAAAAAAAAAAAAAAAAAAAAAAAAAAAAAAAAAAAAAAAAAAAACGGGAAAACGAAACCGTCCAATTGAAAACGGAATCCGCCATGGGCGGTCGGATACCGGACGGTTAAACGTTTGACTACAGCACTACAGTAGAAATGACCACCAAACGGAAAAAATTGACATTTTTTCCCGACAAATCTTCATAAAATCTGATTTATAAACAAGTCACATCTAGGTACACTAATACAAATACGATTTTCTGAAAATTCAGGTATTATTTTTTAAGTTTCTTTCAAGTATATTTCTGCGCATTGCAGCGCCAATGTTCTTCACTGCTTCAAAATCACCCTTGAAATTTTTTTTTTGCAACGAATTTGTTACGAGGTCCGCGAGTGTTCCCCGTTCCTTGCGTGTTGAAAGTTTGGTAATACATAGTTTACATTGACTCGCGCACGAAAAAATGGTCGAAAACAAAATGTCAAATGAAGAAATAAACAAGCGTTTGTATAGTTATAAGAGTTCTACCGAGGTGTCTTTGTCGATTTAATTTATTATATAGTCTCAAGTAGAATTCAGAATTATCTCACTGAAAAGTTAAGAAACCGACGATGTTCTCCATCGTAGTTATTTTCATTTTGCCAGCAGCCGATCTAGCGTTGTTTGGGCAAAAAGCTAGGCCGCTGCCTTCCCATCGCAAACCTTTCCGAGTCCCGCTAAAATGGCGCGCTGCGGAGCTTCGAAGCTGCGTTGGTATCGCTGCAAACTCTCAGCCGGCTAGCTCCCCAAGACGGACCATTCGCGGTATGGCGAGAGTGTGTGTGTGAGGTACGATTTTGGATTCGAGAACGCACGTAATGCAACCGTGCGCGTCATATTCAGCTGTCGAATGACTACGACCAATTTTACATACGATTTTTAGTACAGATACTTGGTCAGTTTTCTTCTTATATCTTTGGTTTTACAACATTTAAAAATATAATTTCTTCAAATTTGCTCCTGACTCGGTTCGGACTAATTGTGTGATGTGTTTTCAAGTCAATTTTTTGAATATATTTTTTTGCATGAATTTGCCTATCTGATCCCGTTTCATAAAATTGAAAAGATGCCCAGCGCCCACGCCCAGACCCCCCAGTTGTCTTTTTCCGTTGACATTTGTGTAGCAACTAGTAAAGGATAATAAATCATTAAAAAAAAATGGTTAGATCTACATGAAGAAAACATAAATCTAGAGAAAGTCAATCCATGGAAACTCAATATTGTTGTTGTTTCATTTCAGTCATGCACGGGCGTTGCGTATTCGCCGCTCATCATGTTACTCACTTATTGTGGCACAATTATCAATATGTGGGACCATTATGATATCACAAAGAAAAAACAAACTTTGATTACGCTATTAAAAATCATTATAAATAATAAAATACCTGGATCACTTTCAAGTTCAAGCCATTCTCCAGCCATCATTGCTAACAATAGATGGAAGTCAGACTATATTCGACCTCTATATTCTCACTCTCAAGTCGCATCTTTTCCACTTCAGAAAAATCATAAGCGCGTATGATCTATGAAAAGCTGTCTGATATTTATTATTGATTTTATAAAATACAAGCTATGAGGCTGTTAGTTTAAAAAAGTCATGTTTTCGAATATGATCCTCTCAAACCTAATTTGATGGCATTTATTAAGTAATGTAAATGTAATCATTACACGTACATCATTATATTCACTAATCTTGATTTATCTCAATTTTGGCACGTCATAGTCCATATGGTTATTGCATTGCATATCGATGTCATGTACAATTTGTATTGTTTTGTAAAGAAACAGCTGGGGCGGAATCAATGAATGGGGCTAGCTGTAAAGACAAGTGAATTGGTAAATATATTAGAATTTCAAAAGAATGGAATAGACTCCAGTTATTCAACTTTCAACACTGCTAGATATTTTGTTGAAACTTTTGGTCCTCATGAATATTAAAGAGTAACTTTGGTTTTGTGATTAAATAGGCACAAATAAGGGGGTGGGAAATGGTCATGGGGTTGATGGGATTCGAACGTCAGATCAGCTGCACTCAGCTTAGACCGAAAATTTATGTCTCTTTCGTTCATTAGCCTCTTAAACAGAGGAGCGACATTTTTTAGCCTCAGTCTTATTTGGGTAGGGTCGGCTCCTAGCTCAAATGAGAGGAACTAGCCGACCCTACCCAAATAAGAGGCCAACGAACGAAAGAGACAGAAATTTTCGGTCTACACTCAGCTCAGCTCAGTCAGGGCTACACAGATGCAGTCCCTATTTGGCATTTTGTTTGTTTGTTTGTTTGAATGAGGGGGTGGGGTGGAGGAGGGGGGAGGGTGGTGGTGGATAATTGATGATTTAAATAAGGAAAGCTTGTTATTTCCATGCGCATTGGATCTTACATTCTTTCCCGTTTCTGTACAAACTTTACTCCTTTCACCATGGCCTGGCATGATCAGATGGCTGTTATTCAGTGTTAATATATTTGTTGAATTGTTAATTCTTGTTACCTTTACCACAACTGGAAGAATGCTCTAACCTTAAGCAATAAACATGATATCCAACAGCTTCTGTGTTTTGTAAAAGATATTATACCCGGTAGGTGTTTAATTCCCAGATCTTTATGTGCTAAATGGGTGATTTTCTCAATTTTTCATTAAAAAACCCACCTGTTACCCTGTAGTTTGTACCCTGTTTGTTTAAACCTAAAACCAAGAAACATAAATTTAAAGAAGGTCTGCAACGTACTCTGCACAGCCGTTAACTTTTTTCTCTTGCAGTAAGATATTTTGTACAAATTTCAGTTTGTTTAATTTAAAGATCATTTTCACGTGTATAAAGAAACCCATCAAATATTGGCTGATAATTTTATTAAAAACTGTCATATATCTTGGAATATTTTTGTTTGATTACATAGCAAGGACAACAATCTTTCCAAAGTCTGCAGTTTTCTCGCTAGCCATTCTCCCATGGGATTGTGATCGATGTCAGAGTAGTACTAGTCCATTGACTAGCATAACATGGATAGGGTGTTGCATATAATAATTTGTATTGTACACCAAGAATCAATGATGCAAACAGCAGCCATCTTGTTGCTCCTGCATCTCAAACAAGTGATTTCTTTGGGCTAGCTGTTCTCTGTTCATTTTTGTCACTCTTTTTAATAATTGATGGAGCTTTGTCTGACCAAACAACAACTGATGCATGCCAAATTTCTTGCCTCCATAAACTAAATTGTCAATTTTGCACCCTTGTCCCCACATACTCCTGATGTGACCACATTTTTTTAAACGCCCCCTGCCCCTGACACTGTATTGTATGCAGGATCTTGCTGACTGCTCATCTCTTTGCTGACGTTGTTAGATATTTTTCAATTTATACCCCCCTCACTCTTTGCCCTTGTTCATCTAGCGTTAAAGGACCCGTGATGGTAGCACCTTGTCCAAATCATTTTATCCCACCTGTAAAAAAAAAAAAAAAATCCAGAACCAATAAGGAATTTTTTACAAAAATATTTTGATTGTATGATCCTTTTTTTTCTGTCAATTATAGATAGACTTCTAAATTCTACTTCACTACTTTTTTGTCAAATGATGTGGAACTTTCATTGAGGCAGAAATGGGGAATGTTCAGCTACAAGTGAATGACTTTACACCGGTGCGACCTGATGAGAGGAGAGAATTGAAGCTCACCAGGAAGATAACTAGTGCTGATTATCAGAAGGTAAGGGCCTTGTTACCGCTCTAACAGGAAAGTGTGGGGAAGCCTTAAAGTCTATATTTGACTTATTCTAAAGTTTGTATAATTTACAGCTTGTCTTTCACATCAAAGGTCACTTAAGTAGTCTAGATACCAAAAGTAAAATGTAACTGATTTCGTATTTTAAAAAAAGAAATAAATAAAATGCAAGATGTATCTGCACCAGTTTGGCCAGGAGAGATTAGACCTCCCTGCATGGTCACTGATAGATGGTTATCTCATCAAATCAGCTCTCAATTAACATAAGAAAAAGGGGACCATGGGGGACCAACGGTCACTGCTTAGGCATGGTTTGCTATATAGAGGGCGCAAGTAGCTATAAGTAGTGCAGTGGGGCTTAAATATGACTAGTTTATGCTTCTTTTTTTTTCCATCTAGCATGTAGCTGGTGAGGATTTAGAAGGAGCCTTGAGTGAATTACCATGGGCTCTGGTAGACTCCATCTCACTCTTTGAACACATGGATGCCAGCTTCAACCACATATCGGTCATTCCACCGGAGATACCCCTCCGCCTCCCGCATCTCTCCTACCTCAACATGGCTCACAACCGCATCCCTGCTCTACCAGACAGCTTCTCTCTTCTTTTCCATCTCAAGACGCTGCTCATTCATCACAATGAACTTGAACATCTCCCAGATTCCTTCATCCACCTTGTGAAGCTTGAAAAGCTGGACGTATCTAGCAACAAACTGAAGTCTTTACCGGAGAATATAGGGGTGATGGAGTCGCTGCATAAGTTGAACGTCATGGATAATTCATTAACACTGTTGCCTTTGTCTCTCGGGAAGTCTGGCACGATAGAAGTGCTACTGGCGTCCAATAACAAATGTGCATCTCCTCCACAGAGCGTGTGCGATGAAGGATCAGAAAAGACATTGCAGTTTCTTAGGAAGCAGTCTGAAAATGGGTACATTCTCAAGAAAAGCAATTCTGGAAACGTCTTTAAAAGATGTAGAGGTATATTATATTCTTTCATTTTATCTCATGATAATTGCTACATGTATCATCTTCAGACACATTAACTTTTGTTAAACATGTTTAACATTGGCATTTAATGACTGTCTGTAAAATTAAATGAATTTAAAAAAAAATTTTTAATTGCCCAGAAGAACCAACATTGATGAAAGAAACCTGTATACCACCTCTTTATACTAGAATAACTAGATTGATAAAGTTCTTGAAGGCATACATGAAGAATTTCAGTCATTTCTAGAATAGAATAAATGTTCTACCTTATAAATCATAGTTGCTATTAGTAAATGTCTTGATATACTGTTCCCCTATAGCAGAAAAAGATCTTAGCCACACGTTTTCAGAAACACATTTTTATTCCATTTAAGAAAATTGCCACAAGCTGAAATACAGGCACTTCATCACTCACCAATCTTGATTGAGGCTTTCATGTAATTCATCATACTTTACTATATTCTTTGCATTATTGGTATATCATAGGTGATGTATTGCAGTCACGTGTTGCCAATCCACAGTGTGCACAGGCACAGTATGCCCAAGAGCTGACGGAGACGACCAATACCAAAAGCCGAATCCGCACCCCTCTTCGGCCCCCTCCAGGGGCTACTACTCTGGAAGCAGATGAGCTTATGGATAAAGTTGTTGGTATGTGTGAGCTATTTCTATTGGGTACTGTGCAGTTTATATAGTAGTGGTAGTTATTCTACCTGACTGCTAAGAAAGCATAAATGCTTGAAACCAGAGGACCAATGGCTTTAGGTTGTCTCTGAGGGACCTGGTAATAAAGGGCACTAGCGCATCGACTTGGCTCCAAACCTGTGTCGCCGGATTACGAGAAAACTGCTATATACCAACTGAGCTATAGCGCCTCCTAGAGTTTAGGATGTGTTGATGTGATTGAAATGAATTCAATTTATTCACCAATTGGCATTTTAAATAGGGAATATCCTTAGTCAAAGAATACAATAAAATATTTTTTACAGAGTATAGGTGATGATTTTTTTAAATGTAGAATAAATAATTCTAGACCAGATGATCTAATTAGGCTTTAAGTTTAAAAATAAATAATAAGATGGAATCGGCTTGTGCTGTTAAAGTGTACTTTCTACTGAATCAGAAGGAAACAAAAAAGCTAATGAATGAATGAAAAATTGGTACGTCAACTTTTATTTGAGAGAGTATCTAGATTGATGAACTACAATGTAACATTCTAATCCAATTTGAGTTTCTCTACTGAGAATATCATCCAACTTGCAAAATGTCATTATTTTCCTTGATGTTTATCTGTGTTAGGTCTGCTGTATGGTGCTGCTATTGGTGATGCAGTGGGTCTGTGTACTGCTTGGATGACACAGGATGAATGCAGGTTTCATTATGAAGAAGAAACTCTTCATCCTGGTCAGAGGATAAGTGATAAACATAGACTTCAGTGGGCCAAGGGAGACTGGACTACTGCCTTTGATCAATTGGTAAGATAACAGATTTCAGGAAAGACCTTCAGTCATGTTGTGTATTTAAAGGTATATGCAGTGACTATTTCTTGTAGCAGATACGTGTATTCATCAATTTTAATTCATTTAGAACTGATATCAGTTGCCAGTGATAATCATTGTGAAGGAGATCTGATGATGATTGAAATGATTGAAATGATCTCATCGTTAGATTGAAATGATTGAAAGGATCTCATTGTAAGATCGAAATTATAAGTTGAAAAGATTGAAATGATCTCATTTTGAGATTGAAGTGATGAGATTTAAATGATCTCATTGTGAGATTGAAATGGTTTAAATGATCTCATTATGAGATTGAAATGATCTCATTGTGAGATTGAAGTGATGAGATTGAAATGATTGTAATGATCTCATTGTGAGATTGAAATGGTTTTAATGAACTCATTATGAGATTGAAATGATGAGATTGAAATGATCTCATTGTGAGATTGAAGTGATGAGATTAAAATGATTGAAATGATCTTATTGTGAGATTGAAGTGATGAGATTGAAATGATTGAAATGATCTCATTGTGAGATTGAAATGGTTTTAATGACCTCATTATGAGATTGAAATGATGAGATTGAAATGATCTCGTTGTGAGATTGAAATGATTGAAATGATGAGATTAAAATGATTGAAATGATCTCATTGTGAGATTGAGGTGATGAGATTGAAATGATTGAAATGATGAGATTGAAATGATCTCATTGTGAGATTGAAGTGATAAGATTGAAATGATTGAAATTATCTTATTGTGAGATTGAAATGATGAGATTGAAATGATTGAAATGATCTCATTGTGAGATTAAAGTGATGAGATTGAAATGATTGAAATGATCTCATTGTGAGATTGAGGTGATGAGATTGAAATGATTGAAATGATGAGATTGAAATGATTGAAATGATCTCATTGTGAGATTGAAGTGATGAGATTGAAATGATCTCATTGTGAGATTGAAATGGTTTTAATGATCTCATTATGAGATTGACATGATGAGATTGAAATGATTGAAGGATCTCGTTGTGAAATTGAAGTGATGAGATTGAAATGATTGAAATGATGAGATTGAAATGATTGAAATGATCTTATTGTGAGATTGAAATGATGAGATTGAAATGATTGAAATTATCTCATTGTGAGATTGAAGTGATGAGATTGAAATGATTGAAATGATCTCATGATATTTTGCCTTTCGTTCTTTCCAGGTTCTGACCTTGGACTCCATCCTCCAATGGGCTGGTGTGGTGGATGAATTAGACTTTGCCAAACGACTTGCTCATTGGTACAACCATGGCTTTCCAGAGCTTGGTGATACCAAGGGATTCGAGGGGTTCAGTAATACTGTGGCTAAGGTAAGAGAGAAGTTTCTTTGATCTCTGTTCAATATATAGGATGAAGAAGAAAAAGAAAAAACCCAATGTATTCATCACATTGGTCATGAGAATGTTTTTAAAGTTAATTAGAAAAGAAAGAAGATAGAGAGGGAACAAAATTAAGTGAAGAAAGTTCAAATCAACAATGACACAAGAAGATGATACAAGTTGAATTTTACATATCCATTTTGTTGAATTCAATTTATCAATTTACCTTTAACTTGCAAAAAGCTTTATAGAAAACAGATTATAAGAAAGGATTAGGTTTTCCTCCATTCACCTAAACCATTAAATACCTTGAAGGGAGCTTACATATGATAAAAGGCTGTATGAATTGAATTACATTGGATGGAAACCATATTACAGGTGGGATATATTACAACAAAACTCATGAAATTTGGGTTTAAAGTATCATGTTAAAAAGAAAAATACAAATATTGAACCATTGAATACTAAGTCTGAGACAACTTGGGCTGTGGTTCATAGAGAATATCTATCATAATTAAAGACCTTATTCGATGAAAATACAATTTGATATCAATGGAAAACTGAATGAATGTAGAATACAAATATAAAGTAACAAAAAGTATTTACCCTTTCATTATTGCACAAAAGCAAGTCAAAACCTCATTTCCTGCACCCCTCAAAATTACAGATCAACTGGGGTCAAACTTGCCTAAGTTAATACAGTGACAACATAACATGTGGACTGATTGGTTAACCAATATAGCCGAGGCGATGAGCCGTGCTTAATTAATGCAAAGTCATTGTGAATATGCATAGGATGATGTCATCAAGTCAATAGCAAGTTGTTAGGTCAACAACTTCCGGTTTTCAGAGCTTTAGATTTGGAGTTTTCAGAGAGCTGATACTCATCTGACAAACTTAAAATGGCATATAATTGATATTATTGTAATCTTTGGCTTATAAGCTTTCCGTTGATATATTATTCATCCATTTTATTTTTCAGTTCAGATAAGGTCTTTAAATTAGATTGTATTCCATTTGTTATTGATAGCTTTTGCTTTTTGGTTGTTGTTCATCTCCACCCAGGTGATAGCCAACCCCTTGTTCTGTCAAGAACCCAGTGCCATAGCAAGAGGTTTGTGGAACAGGAACTACGATTGTCATGACTCTGATTCATGTGAACATCTAGCTGATAACTGTGCCGTAGTGAGAACAGCTATCCTTGGAGTGCCTCATTTCTACAGACTAGAAGAGGTGGAGGAGAATGCTTTAAGGATATGTACATCAACACACCAGGATCCAAGGTAGGAATCTTATTTTAACTTGATTTTAAATTGATGGATTCCTGCCAAACTTTGGTCATGTATGTATCTTGCAGAGCCAATGAACTAATTAGATTTTGGGGGTCACGAGGTCAAAGGTCAAAGGTCACAGCGCTCATTATGTATGTAAAAACAGCTTGTGATCGCGATATCTCAAGAACCGATTGATGGATTCCTGCCAAACTTTGGTCATGTATGTATCTTGCAGAGCCAATGAACTGATTATATTTTGGGGTCACAAGGTCAAAGGTCACAGCGCTCATTATGTATGCAAAAACAGCTTGTGATCGCGTTATCTGAAGAACTGATTGATGGATTCCTGCCAAACTTTGGTCATGTATGTATCTTGCAGAGCCGATGAACTGATTAGATTTTGGGGTCACGAGGCCAAAGGTCAAAGATCACAGGGCTCATTATGTATGCAAAAATAGCTTGTGAATGCATTCTCATTAGAACTGCCAGAAGAATTACTATTTAACTCTGGACATCTTGCAGAGCCAATGAACTGAGTAGATTTTAGGGTCATGAGGTCACAGATCAAAGGGTCATATATGTATATGAGAAATTGCTTGTAATCACGATATTCTGAGAACCTGTTTAAGGCATACTGTCCTACTTGTAGCTACTGGCTCCTTCTATATAGAAAACTTCCCAAATCGGTGCCTGTTGGTCCCTCATGATCCTCTTTTTCTTATGTTAAATGAGAGCTGAGTTAATGAGATAGCCACCTGTCACAGTGACCTCGATGGCTTACTGGGTGGTCTAATCCCTTCTTGCTGAAGTAGTTAAGCCTCCCTTTAATGGATTACAATTGAACTTGAATTTGAAAATTTTCTTTTGTTTTGGTTTGTAAAATTGCTCTATGATGGAGGCAACATTTTCGACTGCGCGCAGTCGAAGTTCCATCTAGTTAATCTTGCAATCGCCCCCGTGAACAATCTGACGGAGGTGATTATGTAGCTCATGGGGGTGAATTGCCCATCACCCCCGTGTATTTTGAGTCTTGATTACGATCGTTTTGGAGGTCTTGAGTGGGTTGATTTTTCGTCAATATTACCGTAATCAACTTTTATAATTTTTGCTTGAATTTACAAGTTAAACAAATGAGATATTCTTACTCAGTGTTAGTTTACAATTGCAATAAGAACCTTCTCTTTAAAGCAAACTTGAATGAAATATAATTGAGCATACAAGAATAAATTGATTAGAATTTTAGGCGGAAAAGATCAAATGTCACAGGGGCATAACAATTATCAAAAATGCCAGAAAATATCTTATTACTTGTAATGCATTTAAGCAATTCAAATCAAACTTGGATGTATGAGCAACCGTGCAAGGATGAACTGATTATATTTTGGATGAAGGAGGTCAAGATGAAACATCATAGGGTCATGAAAGTGTTATAATCCATCAAAACTGGACTCAAGTATGTACAAATAGATAAATTTAAAAGTTGGGGATCCTTTAAACGTTAAAGGATCACTTATGAACAATGTTAGAAATGCAGTCGTATTCATCTAGTTTGAGTTGAGTTTTATCTTCTGTGTTTCGCGAAAGGCAGTCTACTTATATTTATACAATTTGAGACACTTGATGATAATGATGATGCTACATATATGTAGCATCATCATTATCATAAAAAAGGAGCATTTCAGCCAGGCAACATTTTACAGATGCTCACAATGTTGAGCAAACTACATTAACTTTCGCATCATACCGGGTACCCATTTAACACCTGGGTGGAGAGTGGTATACAGTGTATGTAGATTAACGTCTTTCCAAAGAACGTTAGTTTCAGGCTGGGATTTGAACCTCGTACCTTGTGATCTGCAGTCAGGTGACTTATCCACTAGACCACAACACCTGTACTATAAAGTAATATAATTGCCCTATCCTTAAAGTGCTTAAAAGCATTCAAGGACTATCTTCCTACCCGTTTTCTGGCTTTCTGCCATGGGCGAAGTATGGCAAATGTTGACTAATTAGTGCTGGTCTGGTACCCATACCACAAAACATGTATTCCACAGTCTTATGACACCTGAACACCTTGATATGCTTCCTGTATATTCCCTGGGCCCTGGGGAACATTTTTAAGTCGGCCACCATCTAACAGGTGTGTATATATGTTCAAGTTCAAACCACATTGTTCACTTACTATCAGGTTACATATTTATACACCTGGGTCGAGAAGGACAATGTAGAAAAACTGCCTTGTTAAAGCACACAGGTGCTGTTCCAAAGCGTGAACCCACGACCATTGCATACAGTTGAGTGTTCTTACTAAATTGGACTATTGTCTGTATGGAAAAATAAATTGTGGTTAGTAGCAAAATGAAAACAAGAGCATGATGTTAAAGAGGGTGTAAACCGACGAGACAACGGGTCTTTCCCATAGCCTGCCTCGGGGCCAATGGGGTATAATACGACTACGGACGCAACCGCAGCAATCACGTGTGTGCAACATATGCAAAACCGAAGCGTGAGAAGAACTTCGGTATGTTTCGAGAACGCTGACCATGTAGAGATTAAGTCGCTGACTACCGTTAGTCAAGTCCATTTATTTACGTGCAGTTGTCCAAAAGGAGACGTACATGTAGATGGCGTACGCCTGTATTCATCAGTTTACACCCCCTTCAAAGATTATACTGTAGTATGCTGAAGTTTAAAGGTATGATGTTGTGTTTTCTTACATTTTTTTCATACTTGGTCAGTTGCATTTGTATATTTAGGAATTGATAAAAATCAACTTGTTTCTTAATGTTTACATTAAATCTTGCGATGATATTGTGTAAAAGAAAATTAATATGTGCATATTTTTGTATTTTTTGTAAATGGATATTGCCAGAGAGGAATGCGACACGCTCTTCCTCTGAAGTTTCTGTTGGTTCATCATATCTCTTGTGGTGAATTAAAAGTATACTTAGGAATCTTTTACTAAAAACGAAAAGCCTTTTTTTATACATGTAGTCGAAATTGTTAAAGGTTTGAAATCTGCAACCACCTGACAAATTGATTTACAACTCTGTTTAGTTATAGAAGAAGAGGATGGTGACATGAGGGGTACTTTTCCTAGAGTTATTAAAATATATGAAATTCTTAGTTGAGAACAACAATTTCTACAACTTAAAGGTACTATGTCCCTTTTGCAGCCAACCTCAAATTCTGTAGAACTTTGCAGGAATTATGAATATGTCATGTATGTCCTATCTGTGAAATTTAAACTTTAGCAGGGTCCTAATATTCAATTTATGCAAGGCAACCCGTTTACTTGCTAGACTTCACTGTCAGACACTATTGAGTGACTGACTGGCTTTTTTTCTTCTTTGGTAATAACATACATAAAATGAGCTGTAAAGAGTACATGAGCATTTGCCTACATTAACCCACTTCTTGTGATGGCCAAGATTAAACTGATTGAATCTTTGCGCAGCATAAAACGTATGACAATTTGGTACTATAGTCTGAAAATCAAGACTATTACTTATTGGCTCTATAGCTCCTAAGACGATTTGATAACTAATAGTCGTTATTTTCCCACTTGAAGACATTTTCAAGCCCCAACTTTTTTAGGGAAGTTCTAAATTAGTATTATCTTTCAAATGCCGTTGGAATTTAACCTTTTCATTTTTTGGCCTGAAAATGGGACATAGTACCTTTATTGGAGAAAGCGCACTGTAACCTTGTAGAGCTTTTAATTAAAATGATTAAATTACAAAAGTTGATTGGCTTGACAAAATTAAAGGAAAACATTAATTCTGGAGAAGTGCATTGATGAGTACCATTCTCTGATTTTAATAGAACGGAATGGTGATATAAGGGGTACTTTGTCTCAGATTCATTAAAATATGTAAAATTCTTAGTTAAAGATAAACTTGAGTTCTGGTAAGAAAACACTACAAAATATAGTTATTCAGATATTATCAAGTCTGGGTATATAAGGAGGGCAGCACACGGACGTACGCATGGGATCGTAATACCCATTGGCTGAGTGGTATGTAGTGATCGCAAAGTTGCCTACTTCACGACATCTATACCATTGCATGAACATCTTTAAATATGATTGCATTAATTCTTCATATTTTTTTCCAGCTAAGTACCATTCAACAAAATGTAACAACCTGTAAAAATCACTAATTAACAATGTGTAAAGAAGTTCTGTGCATCAATTCACATGTTTTGGCACAAGCATGAAGATTATATACTCTAGGCCTTTATATCTTCTAATTAAATATCATTTGGATGATTGGTTACATATTGTTATTTTGCCTTTAAATATTAAAGAAAGGAGAGACATGATGAGAGAGAGAGAGAGAGAGAGAGAAAGAAAGAGACAGACAGACAGACAGACAGATAGATACATGTGTAGTGAGGGGGGAGGGGGGAGATGGAGGCAAACTTTGTTCATTATTTCATTTAGACAGAAAAAAAGTACTTATGATTTATTTTGTTTTTGCATTAATGAAGTAGCGTCAGGCCCTGAATTTATACCCTGTCGTTTGTGTTGGGATACATTGCGACATTTAGCGAAAAGATGAACAAATGACATGAGAATAGATACAAACAAATATATAAAATGCAGCAGATAAGGATGTATTGTCACCAGAGACACATTAATGGGTCCCTTTTTAAGCAGCATCTTTTATTATTTCTCGCCCAAATTCTTTGAAAGTGGCGCAGTGACATAGAATTACTAGTCCCCAATGAACCTTACAAATTTGCTTCAATCAAGAGAGTGAGCTATTTTAATGAATTGGATTAAATTTGTACTCCATATTTATTTTAATGATGTACAGGTGTCAGGCCAGCTGTGCTTTCTTATCATCACTAGTAGCATTAATTCTTCAGAAGGACTGCAACTCGTCATCGTCCGAGGATCTTTCCCTGGAGAAGATCATCACCGTGGCAACAGAGATTGGAAGAAAACATCTAATCCATGATGAACACCAACAGATGTTCAAGAAGTATTGCTCTGTATCAAGTATTGACAGGTATGATGTATGTTTCAAACAATTTGCTTTGTATCGAGCATTGAAACTTGACTGATATCATATGCATATAGATGTATTCAATAAATTCTACTCTGCATCATATCAAAATTATTGAAAGTTATGATATATGAACATAAAATGATCAATGCTTTTTATAAAATGCTTGAACAGGTTCACTTTGACTGTCGTACATGATAATGTGTCATTTTCAAACATGAAATCTTACCTTTTATACCATCATCTGCAGGGAGCTAGAAGGGCTATATTTGTAGTTTGGTGTTATCAAGTGGGGAAATGTTGCTTGTTAATGATTTTCTTTTTGCACAATTATATTAATAATAACTCTAACATTATTTTAATTACTTAGTAATTTCCAAGGCACTTTAACAGTTATTGTCACTCATATGTACTGCTTCTACACTTTAAGCATCTTTAAGCACAAATTTTTCTAAAGTTGAATAGTTGATGTATTTTGAAGATCTGTCAAACCTCAATACACGAATCCACACAGGAATCTCTTCTTTGACAAGTACACGTGCGTGCATGCTCCAATAGAGTTTTAGAGCATAATATTTTTCATATATTTGTGAAAGATTTTATTTATCAGATCTATATGAAATCCTCTTTGCAATTTTATAAATGTCTATTTACAAGCGACCAGGGCAGCGTTTCACAAAACTGTCATAAGTACAAGCTTGTCAACAACCCATTGTAATGCGTGCATTAGATTTAATATGTATTCAAACGGGATGTCTGTGAACTTGTTCTTATGGCAGTTTTGTGAAACAATGCCCTGAATCTTAGAATTTTACTTGGGCAAAACAATTTTGTCTAATTTCCATAAAATACGTACCGGCACATACATATTATGAATAGCGGTTAAGTGCATGATAAAACATTCAAAACGTGGATGGAATTTTATGATTTGTCTTTACATAAGGTAATTAGAACGCCTCATCATAAAGAATCCTCAGTGATGCAACAACACTTAAGTATTTTGTTTGATGATATTAATTTGAAATAATTACAGTTTGACGTCACTTGATGTCAACAAACCGAGTCATACATTCAGACCAGTGGCCACTTGTTTAGCAGCTCTCAGGATGTCTAGCACTTCAAACTTCAGGTCTGTCAAAACAACACCATTTATTTGTCTGTCATTTTGATAATTGCAAAATAAAGTAGTTAAAGGCATTTTGACTGGCAATTTACATAAATCACAAGTAGTTTGTTGATTCTGCATGTAAATATTGTAATTGTATTTGCTTTATTGTTCAAGGTGATTATCTTAAGTATTTTAGGCTTTGTGTTTTACTAATTTGAAAAGTGAATGAATGGAATACATTTTAGCATTTCATAGAATCATAAAACCACCTGTTACCTCAACTCTGTGACATAATATTAAAACAACTAATCTCTAATCACTCCATATATTTTTTCATGATGTGAGCATTACAAAATCCAATTATTATTTTCAGATGCTTAAAAATGTTTTGAAAGATTGATAAAATGATGAAAATAAGTTACGCAATCATGACCTTACAAACAAGCATAACAAATTGTTTCTAGTTGTGTTTCATTACTTTCCCTGTTACAATGAAAGATTAAGGATTGTATGATAAGGTTAATGTTATAATGATTACCAATTTTGTTGATAATAATTAAAATAATGAGTGAGAGATATTTATATTGCTATCCTCTCCTAGAGGGTCACTGCTTTTAAGTACAATTCAACGTTCCTTGTCTGATACTGTAAATGTAATAGTTTGAAATTTGAATGCATTTTAACGGGGCGGGGAAGGGGGGGGGGGTAAGGAATCATAATCTTTGTCCAGATGAGTCATGTATCTTTTCCCTTTTCACTTAAATATTTTCTGAAGTTATATTGTATTTGAAGTTATACTGTATCATTTCATTTTCTAAACATGTAGGGATTTTTTTTATCGCACTCAATGCTAATTTTGTCCATAAAATGTCCATTCTACTGTCACTAATTGTTGTTTGTGCAATTGCTTTTCAACAGGTCATTAATAACACAGATTGCGATGCAAGGAGGTGATAGCACCCATAATGCATCGGTGGCTGGCGCTGTTTTAGGCTGTTGGTTCGGCTTCAAGAATCTACCGCCCTCTTGGGTCCGTTGCTTCAAGAAGAGTCACACAGCGTGGCTAGACGTGAAGATCAACGCTCTTCTAGACATGATGGGGCTTCCTTGAATTGGTCTGATGTTGCCAGGATACAGGTTAGGTCATCGTACAGGTCAAAGGTGGTTGCAAGGGTTCACAGGGGTCATATAAATAAATGTAGAAGTCAAATTAAGTATACCACATTTAAACTACATGTATTCACAGGGTATAAATGTATTTTTGATAGATCTATCAATCTTTCCTTTATGACACAATAAATCAAACAATCATTTTATTTTTTATTTTGTTGGTTACCGGGTTTATCATCAAATGACATTAGTGTTTTATAAGTGCACTAAGGGTGCTCTCTATGTGACAAGTTTTTGGCAAATCATGCAGGTTGATACAGGTTATCAGATGATTTCTTTGATTGTTTCATGTTGGACAATTTTCTGATGGCCTTTAAGAATGGAATGAGAGGATGCTGCACTCTCTGATTTGCTGAGAAACCAAACAATGCTCACTCAATGCTGCATACATGTAGAAGGTCATTTTGGCTGACAGCAGACAAAATATGCTCTACACACTAGATTATTCAAACAACCACCTACAGGTACAATATATACACTATATATAAATGTACCTCACCTTTTACTTGTGTAAATAAATACAATAATTTCTGTTATAGCAAAGAGATATCTAGTTTACTGTACAGTCTTTGCATCCAATTTAAATTTAATGCAGAGTCATTCTATTATTATATACTTTAATGTCCACACATACCATTTAATGAAAGGTAGGATATAATGTGTATTATTATGTTTGCCAACTACAGTCATGCTGACATTAATGATGCTCATCATTAAGCATCGCTAGCCTAAAAATATAAGATCAGGACAACTTCTGTAAAATTTGTATTAAAACACTATATGATGTTCATTTCAACATGACATGTAATACTAGAATTAAGATATGCAATTTTGATTAATGAAAGGTATCCTTGCCAATTGTATCAAATGTAAGTAATACTTGCCAATAAGAAGCAAAAAGAAGCTGTTTAAGAATGCCCAGTATTGTAAACCATATTTCTTTCTTTTTTGATATTTCAGAAATAAATGTAGATTCATAACTAGATAATTAGATTAATATATTTCTTGTTTTGTGAAAGAGTTATCAAAACGTCTTTAGATTTCCATCATAAGTTTTTTTTTTTGTAACTGTCTAACAAGTTGAAGAAATGTAGCATATTTGGAATGTAAGAACTAATTTTCCATTTATATCTTGACATTTCTCATGGTTTATTTTTCTGGTTCATGAATTTGCCAGCACTATCAACAAATTATCTCATGCAATACACCATTTATCAAGATCAAATTTTGTATATCTATCTTTTTATTCACTTCTATGATTAAATGTGAAGAGTGCATTGATATGTGGGGGAAATGGTTTTTGATTGATGCACAAAATTAAAATACATGTACATCTAGTTATTGCTTTATAGCTAAAGAGGCATTATAAACTGACAGTATATTTGTAGCCTAAAAAGGACAATGACCACATCAGGTATATTTCATGAATTTATTTCTCATAGTTATGGGAAAAATTGGGAAATCACTCGTTCAATTGTTCTTGGAATAAGTATTAGCAGGTTCCACAAAAAAGGAATGTCAGATATACTGGCACTAAGGCTGGCAGGTCTTGCTATCGGACTAAAATGTTGTTTCTACCACCTCCTCAAGTGACCAAGTTTGAGTGTTCAGGAAAAAAATTGTTCATCAGAGAATTTGCATTTCTGCTTTTTTTGTTGCTTAAATTTATTCCCACCGATACCTCGAGGCAGATCTGATTTTGAACACTTTCTAACACTTCTGTACATTTAACACTGATTATTATAGTTTATGATAGAGTATATGGTTCTATGTTGGGTGCGCAAAAATATATATTCTTACTTCACATTCTAATGTGGCACTAGTTATTTGACGTTCTTTTGATTTTTGTTCATTCCCTTCTTCTTAATGTTATATTTCTGTACATGATTTTATTGATATACCTCATTTCAGTTTATTGAATATTTTCTCTCTGAATTATATCTTTTTCAAGCTTGAATACTATGAATCATCCAATAATTGCCATATTATCCTTATATTATATGGTTATAGAAGTGTATGTGCAAAACAAAATTCCCAATATAGCGTAGTGGGAAGAGATATATGAATGAAAGGACCATGAATGTGAAATGATAGGCCACTTCAAAGATTTTGACTGTATTGGGTAATGTCAGGTGCTAAATTATGTTCCTAATTATTGTTTTCTGCATGTGTATAATTAATTATTACTTAATTTATCAGATATTAATTCTATTTTTAAAATCTGTTGTAAATAAGTTTGTATGAAAGTAATAATAATTTTTCTTTCTATGGAATTTGATAGGTGTGTCATGTAAACAAAGCTATAACAGACGAAGCTAGCTAGAGTTGGTAAAAATTCATGAAATAAGTGCATTTTAATTTCATCGCTGATGAACATAGCTCTCTAAAACAAACGCATCACTGTTTGCTTGCAAATGACTGCATTACTCATTTAGAACAACTTTTATGATCATACATATATACAATTGATCAGATAATTTGATTGTGCAATATCTAAGTCTTTTAAAATTATTTAAATTATTGATTAACATTTCATTATAATGTTTCTATTATTACAAATGTTAATTGCAGAGTCAATCGATGTATTGTAAAAGAACATTGAGCATGCTTTCCCCTATTGAAATTAATAAGTTTTCTGCTGGCAACTTGTGATTTCAAGACTTACGTGTAGGTGTATTTCTTAAACTAGAAAGATGTGACTAAGCTAAGCATTCATACATGACCATTGTTAGTGGAATTTCAATTTTATTACATGAACCAATGCCTTGTACATTAAACACCCATGCACAGCTTCCTGTAGTCATTTGCTAAAAATATGGTGCTTCCAAGTACTATGAAATATGAAATTTATGCATTGCCAAAGGCTCTAATTTTATTTTTCAAGTGGCTTTCAATTAATGTTTTTTCAGATTTATATTTTGTTTTTGAAGGTAATGGAGATATATGAATCATTAATTAAATCATTAAAAATATTTTAATTATGTCTTTTTCTTTGTGGTTTTCCTGAATGTTGAACAATAAATACACAGTGGTGGTGCAGGGGAGGGGGTTCATGTGACAAAGTTCTTCTTTTAACAACTACTGAGGTTTAATAACATTTGAACATTTGTTGGGGGGGGGGGTGGGGGGACTTGTCAAAGACTTTGGAGTAGAAACGTAATTCCAGAACTTAAAGATTTTTTCTGTTTTTGTTTTTGTTCCCTCCCCCCCCCCCCCCCCTCTCCTCCTCCGACTCCCCTGGATAGAACATCCTAGATCTGCCACTGAAACATAAATGGTGTATTTGAGATCCAAAAATGTTTGAATAGTAGATTATTGGACGGGTTGTGATCATGGTATCTACGTAGTGATACGTTAACAGATAAACACGCAAAAATATATAAATATATATATAATAAATTTTATATATTGTATAGAATTTGCCTTTTGTTATTGGATGATGAATTTTTATTTCAACATCTGATTTGGATGGTTTATCAACATCCTCATGGTTCGATTTCCGTTGTTTATATGGCAGACTGGTCTATCTGTCTAACATAATTATGTCTGTCTGTCTCTTTTATATTTCTATCCTCCCCCTCTCTTTCTCTGTCTGCCTGTGTATGTGTGGGCATGTGTGTGTGTGTGTGTGTGTGTGTGTCTCTCTCTCTCTCTCTCTCTCCCTCTCTCTCTCTATCTCTCTCTCTCTCTATATCTCTCTCCGTATATTTTTCTTTTGGTCTTTACATTCCTCTCTTTCTTCTTTCTTCTTCATTCTTCTTTTATGTTGAATTTAATTGAATAAAAACATGCATTCGTGGATACTATGAAAATGAAATGACTAAAAAAAGGCCTACACATATACAGTAACTAAAGTGATTCCAATGTCAAATGCATTAATCTATCACAGTAATACATTTTCCAGGATTTGAGAGTAGGCCTACCTGTATATTGGATTAGTAATTGATGGAACTTTATAAATGGTCTTGACTCGTTTGTATTTATCAAATGCACGATGTTGTTATCATCAGTATTATTAGTATTATTAGTATTATCATTATTGTTTCTTTTATTGTCATTATTTGTATCATCATTATGATTATTACTATTATGACTATCATTATTATTGCTAACATCATCATCAATATTATGATAGCAATTTTAATCAAGTTTAGTTGCTCGTTGTAGCACTGTATTTCAAGGTAAAATAGAGGCAGATCTCAAATCAGCCTGTAAGCTCAGGAATAAATAATCTACGCTTGGTTTTTCCCAGCTCGTTAGCATATAAACGTGAAAATTGCAAATTTCGAGATAACTCTGATTTCTTCTCTAGATTTAAAATGATCCCTAGTTGAATGATTTTCTTTTTCATAGACCCGACCCAAATCATGTAAGGAAAATGTATTTTCATTGTTTAAATTAGTCAATCATAAACGAAGCTTTCTTTTCTCTAAACACCCCCTCCTCTAATAAACCCTTCTACATTATCAACAACACAAATTATGTGTGGCGTTTAAACATGTGTCATCAAGAGTATGTATTGAGATGTAAATCCTGTTCATTACTTTCATCTAGAATAATAGGCTACAAGTCACATTCATCTATATGACAAGGAAAATGGGCGGATATTCTTTTTTTTTAATATGATTACAGGCCCAAGTGGTACGATTTCTATGGTTAGTAATACATTTTGCTGTAACGGGAGCACACTTTTGTGTGAACTTAAGGCTTTCGGAAAAGGTTGTTGCCGGGGCATCTTGCCCCTCCCCTGGACACGCCAATTGTTTAAAACAAGAAATAAGAGGAAAATACAAATATTTTAGGAAGTTGAGAGCCGTCCAGTCAGGGAGAAGACCCGATAGTCATTATGTAGCCCGCAATTACGTCATACTCATGGCAAAACGAGCTACCGTATTCACCTTGCTTTTTTCAGACTGGAAATCCTGAAATACCATGCAAATCGGTGTAGATATCCTTAAGACAAAATGATGAAATAAATCACTTAAAATTTACACTTGTTGTTGTCATTGCCTTATTTTTGCATTAATCTAGAC